AATTCCGAAGATGCCTTTCATGCAAGGTGCAGATGGACCAGCCCTCCGCATCAAGGGCAGAACGTGGAACCAAAGCGAAGATCGAGGCTCAATTGCTTTGTCTGACGCTCTCGTGGTATCCAAAGATAGGATATCTAGGTCTGTAGGTGCCGTGTCGTCCCTCACTGTTGCGGCATTGCACCGCTATGTATACCAAATCGGATTCTGCCATCCAGCTGGGCCGCTTTCTAGTGGATTTCCTGTGGATGCGTTGTGAACAAGACCTGTGTGAAAGTTCTTTTCTTGAGCAGGCTGACATGGATCCAGGAGGGATTGAAGTGGTGGAGGCTACATCCTGAAACCATGGCCACCTCAGACATGGATGTAATATATATATATAATTATAATATATATATATAATTATAATATATATATAGTATAGCACCCAAAAAAGTGTCAGATGTACTGAGACATTAGAGACATTACACAGGTACAAATTGATTAATGATTATTCATTTATCGTCATTATATATGTACATAATCAAATCTATATTTGCTTCCAACCAATTCATTTGTTACGCACCAATTCCTGAAGCCGTTCAGTTGCCACTTGGAAACGTGTCAACCACTGATGGAGATTGCTCTTCTTATTGCCAACCAAATATAACCAAATGAGTTTTCTCAGCGTCGCAGATGCCTTTCTTGCGAGGTGCAGATGGACCAGCCCTCCACATCAAGGGCGGAACGTGGAACCAACGTGAAGACCGAGGCTCAATTGCTTTGTCTGACGCTCTCGTGGTATCCAAAGATAGGATATCTAGGTCTGTAGGTGCTGCGTCGTCCGTCACTGTTGCGGCATTGCACCGCTATGTATACCAAATCGGATTCTGCCATCCAACTGGGCCGCTTTCTAGTGGATTTCCTGTGGATGCGTTGTGAACAAGACCTGTGTGAAAGTTCTTTTCTTGAGCAGGCTGACATGGATCCAGGAGGGATTGAAGTGGTGGAGGCTACATCCTGAAACCATGGCCACCTCAGACATGGATGTAATATATATATATATAGTATAGCACCCAAAAAAGTGTCAGATGTACTGAGACATTAGAGACATTACACAGGTACAAATTGATTAATGATTATTCATTTATCGTCATTATATATGTACATATTCAAATCTATATTTGCTTCCAACAAATTCATTTGTTACGCACCAATTCCTGGAGCCGTTCAGTTGCAACTTGGAAACGTGTCAATCACTGATGGAGATTGCTCTTCTTATTGCGAACCAAATGAGTTTTCTCAGCGTCGCAGATGCCTTTCTTGCGAGGTGCAGATGGACCAGCCCTCCACATCAAGGGAAGGGCCGGCAATCAAAGTGGAGACCGAGGCTCATATCACTGGGCACAGTTGCCTGCTTTTGTTTGACATCCCCATGGTGTCCAGATATGATATCTAGGGTCTAGACGTGCATTCTCACCTCTGACTCTTGCGCAGCATTTGAATCGCAAATTGGACACTTCCAGAGGATTTGCAGTCCTTGTGCTATGAACAGGAAGGACCTGTTTGGATGCTTTGTTGTTGAGCAGGCTGATTTCGACCCCAGAGAGATTGAAGTGGTGGAGGCCATAGCCCGGAATGAGTTCATCATAGTTCATCAACCCAACCTTTCAACGTCCAGTCTTTATCAAACTTACATAAAACACCAACGCATTTCTTGCTAGTGCAAGAGTGCTTGTTAGAATTGCATTACATAAGTGCAGCGGAAGAGTCTTGACAGTCTTGATGTTCTGCGAGCGAGGCACAGCGGGATGACATCAGAGCAGGGGCTGCGGGTGAGTCTTCTGATGTGCCCGAGGTGCATTGGACAAACACAGTTTTGAACGATCTCCGCTTTACGAATTTTTGCTGCAGCCGAGCCCCTGAGTGGACTTCTATCTAGTCCTCAACACTTGCGGCTTTTCAAGTATTCAGTATTCAGATTTCAAGAACCGTCCCATTCTTACGAATCACAAATCCAATGATTTCGTTTTTTGCCCATTGAACCTCCGATGTTCATGATCTTTGTGTTTGACAGCTGCTGTTGTGCGAATCAAAGTGGACATTTTCGATGTGTGTCTTCCAGTGTCTTGATTGTCGGGAGCTCTTGTACTGATTCAACTGAGGGCCTATTATGGCCCATTTTGCCATGAACAGTATAATCCAGTGAGATTGTTTCCAGTCGAAACATCGGACCTTTTTTGGAATCCAGGCAGCTGCATGGACATTTAGCAATTTACTTCAGTTTCCCGAAACGCACACAATGCCTCAGGCCAGCCTCAGGGACTACTTCCTGAAGGACTACAAAGGAGGCGGTGTCTTTCAGCACGAGGCCTACGAGCACCATCCCGACGAATGGTGCTGGATCCACAAGAGCTCTGGCATCAAGGCACGCGACCGTCGCCATTAGACCCGTTTCGTCACGCCACGTTGTGACGCAGCAGACTCGGTGCAACCCCAGCAGCAGCTCCTGGCAGGTGTGGCAGGATGCCCTGGACCTGACTCAGTCCGGTGGAAGTGGCGAAGTCGAGTGCTTCTTTCATTACACGACTCAGTTGGGGTTCCGAAACATTACGGCTCCACAGAAGAAAGCCGTTGAAGTCTTCGTGCTGCACTCAGTCACCAATCAACATGTCATGTGATGTCATGTGACATGCGTCTTTTTGCCCGCTCACCTTGCCGATGGCCATAGCCTTGAGCATCCGAAGGCCTCTTTGGTGACCAGCGGTCCGAACGCCAATGCATGGTGGGGAAAAGGCAAGGTCAGTCACGGATGCGCGTCCATTATTTTGCAGCTGCTGTATCACAACTGACAAAACGTGAGCATTTGCTTCACCGTCTGTGGTTGTGCACAGCAGGGCGCTTAAGTGCTTTGTTTCTCTCTGACTGAGAGATGTCCTTGGACCTTTGTGTCCACTGCAAACAATTCTGATGAGGAGTTTATAGCGTGCGAAGAGCGCCCGATGACTGGCCAGATGTGGCAACGCTGATCGACAACAATTACCGCAACATGCACGCGAGAGACGTGAAAACGAAAGGCCGCGAGGCCGCGGACGAGGAGAGTGTGCATTTCTTAGGCGCAACATTGCCCACAGTTTTGATTCAATTTTTGGATGTGCACATCGTCAGTGTTTGCAGATTAACAGACCTAGATCCAGTCATGGAGGAGTACGCCTCGCGCGTGGCCTATTGCATCCAATATTGGCCAACGCCGCCGTCACATACGACGTTTCGATTCAACAGACGCCGGAGATGCAGAAGGAGGCTGGTAGCATCGGGTAGCATTTGTGTGCTTTGCCCGGAGCTGAATCGATTTTGTGTGGACACATGCGGAACCATCTGACTCATGTTTGCTCTGCACCGTTAGGGCAAGCTTCCCGGCGTGTCCGGGACCCAGTACCTGAGTGCTTCATATGAAAGTTGTTGATAGAGCAATGACTCACACATTGCTTTCAAGTCCGCTGCCCAGGAACCTGGCAGGAAAGCTGCTCAATGAACCTGTTCAGCCAGAGAGGCAGTGCGTGGTGATCAGGGTGGAAAGAGAGGAGGAAGTGGGCCACGCCAGCGCAGTGCTGCTGGACACGAAACTTGGCTGCTTTCAGGGCTTGGAACTCGGCTAACCATCCAGGGTTACGGCCGTTCAATCCAGGGGTTTTGTTCCTTTGAGCTTGCCATATCCAGGGGTTAGGATTCGTCCAGTAGGGTTAAATAAGGTGGGGCGAGTTCAAACTTCTATTGGAAAAATGATCCAGAGGGCTGACAAGTTTTTGGCTTTTGATGAATTATCAAGTTCGAGATGCACACTGGTCCCTTCGGTCGATTTGGACTGCTCTCTTGCTCTCGTTTTGCCTTTCCTTCTTCCGGGATCTCTGGTCACGTCGCTCCCTGGCAAGTTTACGGAAACTCTCCTGTGGGTCAAAGTATATCAAAGTATCATGGTCGTGGCAGGATGGATACCAAACAGAAAGCAAGAAGCTCAAGCTCTGTTTCGAGAGCGGGCGCGCTTGTCAATCCAATATTTTGCACTCCAGATCTAGAAAGGCACACCGCAAGATAAAAACACCGTTTTCTCGGGCTCCTTGTCCTGCAATTGAAAGTATCTGGGAGTAAAGGCATGGAGCAGAATCGCTTGATGTTTGATCTTGCCACCTGACCATTCACTTTAAGATGTGGAGAAGGCGTGGAACTTTGAAACTCTTTCAGGAGTGCCCGCGCGACATTGCCTTCTGAGATTTCTTGAGTACGGCCCACTTCGAGTTTTATAGTATCTATCGGCTATATTCGTCTATGCCATGTCTATTGACTATGCTATGAGTTGACTTGAATTACCCGCTCCATTTAGGACAAACGTCTGCCAATTTCAAAAAACCTGGCCTCCCCCACCCTCACGCGCAAAAACGTATGGTTGAAGATCCCGCAAAGCAGGGACCATGGATTGCAGCCCAGTAGCCAGCAGCCCAGTAGCCAGCTTCTGACTGAAGCCGGGAGCCGTCCCACACCTTGATGATTTTGCGTACCGTTGGCCATTCTCTTGAACTTGATTTGTCTTCCATGTTGGTGACATGGTCGACCACCGCATTGCCATGTGATAGGCGCAGCCATGTGATAGGCATCATCATGGACCAAGGCTGCGTTGCCGTGCAGATGCCACAGCCGAAAGATTGGGCCCTGACAAAGCGCTTTTGGCACTGAATCGGTGCGGACCTCAGTCCCTCCAAAGAGACGAACACATTAGCAAACATGTATTGTTGAGTCAAGAACTGTACATGGTCTTGTCACCAGAGATTTGCATCCAGAAATGCCGCAAAGCCGCAAAAGTGAAAGCTGTAGATTGCAGTAGGCAACAGTATTTACAACAAGCATCAAATAGCATCAATCAGTATAGCCTATAGCAACTGCTCAAGCGTAATCAAAACAATTCGAATCCCAGAATTTCTTGTTTTCTCACCAGAGATTTGGATCCAGAAATATGCCACGACACCACAACTAGTAAAAAAAGTGCCCTCTCTCCCCCACGGAGCCGTGGGAACTTTTCGGCTCCCGTGGCGCTCCACGGCTGAGGCTCGCGTATGTGCTGGAGGACCGCGGCGCCTTCGCCGAGGCCGAGCCGCTGCAGCGCCGATTCCTGGAGGCCACGGAGCGGCGCCTGGGCCCCGAGCACCGCGAGACGCTCATCGCGGTGAACAACTTGGCGTCGGTGCTGGAGCGCCTGGGGAAGTTTAGCGAGGCGCCGCTGATGCGCTGTGCTGCAAACACCGTGGCGGATGGATGGTGCTTCATTTTGTGTTAGGAAAAGTTGGGGAAAATGGCAGGAAAACAATCACCGCATTTTCAGATCATCTCAGAATTGTCATCTATGTAGAAGTGCGATAATGCATGAACATGTCAATTTTACGCAAATCATTTCAAATCATCTCAAATCACGTCATGTATGGACGTGCCAAAACATGGACATGTCAAAGTTTAGCAAAAGATGTTTGCAAAGAACAGATGCCGCGTTGCAAGTTTCAGTCTGAGATGTCTGAAGCTGTCAAAGCGTTTTTGCCAAAAAAACACAGAACAGATGCACTCTGAGGTTGGAGTTTATTTGCAAATGGAAGATTGGGACGAAGATGACTCACATCCAAATTTTGTTGAACATGTCAACTCATCGACCTTTTTGTGTTTTATTCTTCAAGCTTTGAATCAGCTTTGAATTATGTGTGCATCTTACATGGCACAATTGTATTTGACGTCTTTTTCATCAATCCAAACACAAAGCCATTGTTCATCTTTCTTCCTGTCCCACATGGTCACATAGTACTCACAGGCAGATCCAGGCCTGGGGCCCCACACCACCGACGCCATCATCCCAAGACGCCAGGCGGAGGCCCTGCATCGCCGAGCTCTTGCAGGGAGGGAAGCGCACCTCGGCGCGAATCATCCGGACACGCTTGGATCCATGAACAACCTGGCGCTGCTCCTGCGGCAGCAGGGGAAGCTGGAGGAGGCGGGGCTGAGGGTCTTTGGGGTGAGAGGTGACCTTACTGGACGTTTCACCAAGGGCATATTTTTGTTTGGCCAAGGCCTGAGGCCTGGATTTTCTCTTGTCAATTTCCCAATATTGCTGGATTACCTTTTTTGGGCGTAATACATCGTTGGGACCCCCATCCACATTTCATAATCGGCAAAATGAACACATGGCAAAGCTGTCAAATCTTTCCGGTGAATTCTTGCAAATTAGGCCTATAGATGGCTATAGTATAAATATATCTATATAGGCGCATGCTGAATGAAAGTATGACATCTGCAGGACCCCCATACTGTTCCCACTTGTTTCTTGGTTGCAGCCGGCAACCCACGAAAGCTGTGCGATTGATATTGATATATGGAGATTTACATATATAGTCATATATATATATATACACTGTATATGGTAGTTTGCATACCGCAGTGACTACACAAATTGCCTGACACTTACGTTGCTAGTTTGTAGTGCCGCAGCGGCGCCACCTCGAGCCGCCAGGCTGAAGAACTGCAACGCAAAGCGCTCGCAGGGTTTGAAGCGCAGCTGGGAGCGAGCCATCCCAACACGCTAATCTCCGTGAACGTTCTCGCTATGATCCTCGAGTCGCAAGGCAAATTGGAAGAGGCCAGGCCGAGGTCGGGGGTAGAAAGGAGACCTTCCCCGTGGAAGTTCCAAGGGAAGGCGCTTTTTTTGAAGTATAAGCAAGAGTGGAAGAGTGGACCCTTCCATGTCTCCAATTTGGGCATCTCCTAAGTTTCGCCCAAATTCATTGGTTGAATTGCCTGGGCATGAAATCCATACATGCAATGTGCATCAGGGTTGATGCCAAGGATCTGTCCTCCAATTCCCGAGAGTCAAACTATGAAGGCTCAGCGGAAAGCTAAGAAAAGTACAAGCTCCTTTCAACGAGTTTCATCACCTCAAGACTCTGAAGAATCTTTGGGGTTTGTTAGGCAAAAGAGAACTGTACGGCTTGTGACTTCACACTAGGAAACACAACAGCATAGTGATGATGAGTGATGTCAATACTAATTTGGCGCAGTTCAACACACGCCCTAGATTTTTGTGTTTACAAAATCAGTCAGCCAAGGCTGTTTGTAAGACCCTTCCCGACGATACCAACACCTCTTCAATGGATTTAACCCAGACTCTTGATTCTATGTGCAAGAGTTTCCGGATCACGACAAAACGCATGCAGCATATTTCCAAATGGGCGACGGAGGCCACATATACAGTTTATTGATTTGAGAACGATGACGAAAGCGGGCAATGACTGCCCCAGGAGTGTGACGTACCCCCAGCAGGATCAAAATCAGCTAGATGGGAATGATTGTGTGTCAGTTGTTTGTGTGAGGAATCTGTGAAAGTCTGAAGCTATGAACGTGAATTGGCACGTTAAAGTGGTTCGCGAAGAGTCTTCAAAACGCTGAAAAAAAACGCAGCTTGCCAAAAGGTTGCCAACAGGTACAGCCTCAACATCCCTATTGGCTTTTGAAGTTTGTAAATTCTTGTGAGATGTATGATCTTAGTTGGCCGCATAGGCACCTGTTTGACGGTGACAGCATCACCAGTTCAGCTGAACCTGTGAAGGGAGTATTTCTTGTTATATGCAATCTAGCCACATCTAGCTTGCCTACATGCTCGGCAGGGCTTTTCGAGGCCCTTAGCAATTTTAATCCGTTGATTATTTTCGAGGGCGTTTGACAATGTTTGAGATGATGACCGATCATCCGAGCCGTAGCCTTGTCCGTGGTCGCCCGAGGGTTGTTTCGTGAGAGCGGGCCAGCAATGTGAGCAAACACTGTGAGTAAATTGAGTAAATTGATGCTTCTTGGCATCCCGTGAGTTCAAAGAGTGCTTGACGAGCGCTTGGAATAGTATGTTCATATATGTTCTCACCATAGTCCAAAAATGGTGGCCTTTGTTGGCTTATTCTTCCCTTTCCATGACCCAGGGGGCCTGAGCTGGGGCTCTTCTCATGTTTCCACACCTCAGTGCTCCATCTCGAGCCGCGAGGCAGAAGGTCTCTACCACCGATCCTTGGAAGGCCGCGAGTCCCAACTGGGAGCCCAACACCCCGACACGCTCCTCTCGGTGCACAACTTGGCCTTTGTCTTGAAGCAGCAGGGCAAGTTGGAGGAGGCCGGCCAGGACAAGGGACTGGTGAGTTTCTTGTTTCCAAGTTTCACTGGAGCAATTTCTGTTTATGAGAAGTTTGATTTTGCATATGGGACTCGTTTTGGTAAGTTTGCTTTGACATTTAATGTCCGACAGCATTGTCGCCGGAGAATTTGATGAAATGACCCCACAAGACGCGGGCCAAGCAAGCAGGACGTGCCAGGGTCGCAAACTCATGAACCTGTTTCTCCGGAATCCAAGCTTCGGCTGTAGATACCAGATTGGGCCTAATTCGTTTGACTAGGCTGTTGGATCTCAACAGCAGTACATGCATTTTGTGCAAGGGTAGGTCAACATCGTCTTCCAAGAAGTGAAACTTGGTAGCTCGGTTCTATTTAGAGCTTTGGCTGATGCATTGACAATGCGTGCCAGCTTCACGCAGTACAAGAAAAGCCTTCACCCTGGCTTCGTGGTTCCCACCATCCTATCCTATGCAGATTAGATTCTCAGATTTGCAGGTATTGGTGTTTGAACAATCAATGTGCCACATTGCATCACCAACACATTGCCTTTCACCAGTTGCGGATCACAGCACAAGGCTCATCTCGCCACGGCATAGGAAGCCACCCTGCTGTCATCCATCCACAACCCACCCTGTAGGCAGAGGAGCTCTATCGCACGGCCTTGAGTGGGCGAGAAGGTCAGCTTGGCCCCGAGCATCCGGACACCCTCAGCTCCGTGCGGAATTTGGCGATTCTTCTGGAGGAGAGAGGCTCCGTTCCAGAGGCGAGGGCTTCTCATTCGAGTTGTGGCGTTGGGGCGGTTCTGCTTGGAGGGGATGTTGATGTGGGAAGTGGTGGTTGATGGAAGTCGAATCAATGGAATAGTTGTGGTTGAGCAGATCTCACTTTTGGCAACAGTGTTGGAGCGATTTGAAATACATTGGAAGATGTGTCTTTAAAGTTTTCTAGATGGGGTTTAGTGACATTTTGTTGGGTATGCCCAACCGACATTGAGATATGGCAAGCTCCAAGTGATGCGGTCGCAAGGTCCTAAGGTGCATCATCAGCCCGGGTCCGTGGTGCCCACCACTGCCATGCACCACCTGCCAAGTGTCACGTCCAGGCGGGGCAGCTTTATCTCCGCGAGTTGCGTGGATTGGAGGCCTCTGCAAGGGTCACAGGGGAACAGTCGATAGCCATCGATAGCCACTTGGTGGCCTTTGGTCCAAACATCATTAGTCCAGCTGGTAGTCGCTGCGTGTGAATTTTGGAGCCCCAAAGTGCTCTCGGTACAATTGTCAAGGTCGCCTTTATAGTTTAGCTCCATCAAAGATATGACATTATGACATCTTCCATGAATATTGATTTCACAAAGAAAAAGAACATGTTTCGATTTGATACGTGTCCTGTCTTTTTCTTTTTGTGTGCCATGTTCGGTGTTACAATTTCAGGCTGTCAGCTCTGTGGGGTGAACATGAAATCATTGATCACCCCGAGAGATCTGCGAAAGTTTTGCTGATGAAACTCGGTGCCGCTGTCAGAGCCGTAGCTGCCTTAGCTGCCTCTGCAGGAGCTGCACGGGCCGGATGCCGAAGAGGTCCGAGCGAGTCGCCGCAACCTGGAGCGATTCCAACAAGAGCACGGTCCAGTCGCTTGAAGGCGATGGGAAAACCCGAAATTTGCCGTGAAGACACTCACGGGTCACATGTCTCATTGCATTGTTTTTTTTGAAAGGACCAGTTGAGAAACCCACCGAAGACTTTAGATTCTGTAGATTCTTTTGATAGAAAGCTGGCCTTGTCCTATTGCCAAGGATTTTGTTTCTGAGGCAGCATGTGACATGTGGTGGGCCGTTTGAATTTCTCAAAGTTCTGCTAGTTAGTTTTTGTTCAGCAGAAGTTGGACCGATAGAAAATTCATGAAAATTCTACGTTTGAGTTTCTGCCAGACTTGTTGCAGTTTGGGTTTAGGAATGGCTTGACGTACCAAGACCCCCCACAATGCTGATAACAGCGGTCCAACAAACTGAATTGGTTTGCCTGTGGGATTTGTGTTTGATTCGTTTTGGATCTGATTTCGGAGACTTGCAGGCAGATCGGCACCTTTCAGCCCGTGACCCCGCACATGGAGCCGCCAGCCATCATCATATATTTGTATCAAAATGTATCAATATCTCCCGTTTCACCGAGATCCATAGAGGGTTAGAACCCACAATCAGTGCTTTGAATTGCCAAGTGCCAAGTGTGAAAACAGGGCGTTTGTCGATTTGACCCCACCACAGAGCACTTGAAGGTCAGGGCTTCCAATCAGGACAGTGTTGCCCAGATTTGTCGTTTCTTTATTGCAACTTGGCCTGCTTCTGGTCATGCGTGAACCGTTCGACTTTGGTGTTCAAGCTTTTGCCAGCAACTGATCTCGTCAAGCCAGTGAGGTAGTGAGTGCCTGGTTGTTATTTTGGCCAACCACTTACTCTATCCATGTGTCAAACAGAATGGGCCCGGAAATTGGTTCCCTATGAATTTCGGAACATCTTCATTTCAACTGTGTTTTGGCCATGTCCGGGTGACCTCGAAAGACACCAGTCAACTGTCATAGCCCACCATTGGAAGGGGGTGGAAGGGGGGATTCTCCACCGACTTCAAACCTGGTTTGTTTCATTCTCAACTTGGAAGAGGCTAGTTACGCCCAAAGCAAATTCTGAGCAATCCAAACTTGGGGCATCAAGAGATTCCGGGGAGTCTCTTCCAAGATGGCGAGGTATTCCTTTGTGAACTTGGTCGAAACTCAAACAAAAATCACATGTTTCTATTTGTTTCTTGCATTTGCTTGCCAAGGCCCCCAAACACTTTGGACTGGTCAGGAAATCCTTGTGGAGCCCAAATTACACCCAACATGCTCGCAAGCAGCTGTGCTTCAACTGGTCATGAATATTTGGTCAGGATTTGCAACTAGTCCATATGTGCAGCATAAGTTTTGTGCATGAGAATCCATTTCATCCACTGGCCGCCCGGCAGTGCCGCGGGGCGTCTGATGTGCGGCACAAAAGGGGCACCGTGCCTTTTGGCAGGAGCATGCAGTGGGATGGCCCTGGAAGATAGGCGTTACACACATGCCAAGCACTTCTCAATCTTGAAACATGAGTCAAGGGCCAAACAAATTTCTGAGTCTTGGTCTGGCTTTGGCACCAATGTGGCCACCATTCGGAAGGACTTGCAGTTGACTTGGATCATGAGGATGATTTCTCTTCCATCGAGCACGGTGTGAACGATGTCATTTTGAAAAAAAGTCTAGTTCAAGTTGCCTCGCATGCGAACTGCAGATCCAAATTACTGATGATCGATCTTGCATGTAATTGCAGTAGGGTGGACCATTTTGTGAATATCTAATGGCCCCCAAAATGGATGCCTTTTGTGAAGAAATCCCCAACATTCAAACACTGGTTGTGCGGAAAACCAGCGGCCCAAAAATGGATGCTGGATGCCTTTTATGGCACACATGATCTTACATTGAAGGCTGTCGAGGCTGAAACATAGTGCCCCCAAACGGATGCCCTTTATATATATCCCTTTATGAACCATGGAAAAACAACTTTTTTGTACAGGACTATCGCCCCGAAATGGATGCAGTGACAGGCGTGTTTTCAACATGCACACCAGTTTCTTGAAACGGAATGCCGCTGAAAGAAATGGATGCCTTTGAACAAAGACTTTTTAATTCTCAACATTGAAGCCTATTTTTTGTTGAAACCTGATGCCCCCAAAACCAATGCCTTTCATGTCAAAGATGTTGTCAACATTGAACCTTTTTTGTTTGACTTAACGCCCCCCAAATGGATGCCTTTATGAAAGATGGTCTCAATGTGAATCCAGTTCTTTTAAAGCAAAATGCCCTCCAAATGGATGTCTTTCAGCAAAGACTTTTTAATTCTCAGCGTGAAACCTATTTTTTGTTGAAACCTGATGCCCCCAAAACCAATGCCTTTCATGTCAAAGATGTTGTCAACATTGAACCTTTTTTGTTTGACTTAACGCCCCCAAAATGGATGCCTTTATGAAAGATGGACTCAATGTGAAGCCAGTTCTTTTAAAACAAAATGCCACCCAAATGGATGTCTTTCAGCAAAGACTTTTTAATTCTCAGCGTGAAACCTATTTTTTGTTGAAACCTGATGCCCCCAAAACCAATGCCTTTCATGTCAAAGATGTTGTCAACATTGAACCTATTTTTTGGACTTAACGCCCCCAAAATGGATGCCTTTACGACGCCCCCAAAATGGATGCCTTTATGAAAGATGGTCTCAATGTGAAGCCAGTTCTTTTAAAGCAAAATGCCCCCCAAATGGATGTCTTTCAGCAAAGACTTTTTAATTCTCAGCGTGAAACCTATTTTTTGTTGAAACCTGATGCCCCCAAAACCAATGCCTTTCATGTCAAAGATGTTGTCAACATTGAACCTTTTTTGTTTGACTTAACGCCCCCCAAATGGATGCCTTTCTGAAAGATGGTCTCAATGTGAATCCAATTCTTTTAAAGCAAAATGCCCTCCAAATGGATGTCTTTCAGCAAAGACTTTTTAATTCTCAGCGTGAAACCTATTTTTTGTTGAAACCTGATGCCCCCAAAACCAATGCCTTTCATGTCAAAGATGTTGTCAACATTGAACCTTTTTTTTGTTTGACTTAACGCCCCCCAAATGGATGCCTTTATGAAAGATGGTCTCAATGTGAAGCCAGTTCTTTTAAAGCAAAATGTCCTCCAAATGGATGTCTTTCAACAAAGACTTTTTAATTCCCAGCGTGAAACCTATTTTTTGTTGAAACCTGATGCCCCCAAAACCAATGCCTTTCATGTCAAAGATGTTGTCAACATTGAACCTTTTTTGTTTGACTTAACGCCCCCAAAATGGATGCCTTTATGAAAGATGGTCTCAATGTGAAGCCAGTTCTTTTAAAGCAAAATGCCACCCAAATTGATGCCTTTCAACAAAGACTTTTTAATTCTCAGCGTGAAACCTATTTTTTGTTGAAACCTGATGCCCCCAAAACCAATGCCTTTCATGTCAAAGATGTTGTCAACATTGAACCTTTTTTGTTTGACTTAACGCCCCCAAAATGGATGCCTTTATGAAAGATGGTCTCAATGTGAAGCCAGTTCTTTTAAAACAAAATGCACCCCAAATGGATGCCTTTCAACAAAGACTTTTTAATTCTCAGCGTGAAACCTATTTTTTGTTGAAACCTGATGCCCCCAAAACCAATGCCTTTCATGTCAAAGATGTTGTCAACATTGAACCTTTTTTGTTTGACTTAACGCCCCCAAAATGGATGCCTTTATGAAAGATGGTCTCAATGTGAAGCCAGTTCTTTTAAAGCAAAATGCCACCCAAATTGATGCCTTTCAACAAAGACTTTTTAATTCTCAGCGTGAAACCTATTTTTTGTTGAAACCTGATGCCCCCAAAACCAATGCCTTTCATGTCAAAGATGTTGTCAACATTGAACCTTTTTTGTTTGACTTAACGCCCCCAACATGGATGCCTTTATGAAAGATGGTCTCAATGTGAAGCCAGTTCTTTTAAAACAAAATGCACCCCAAATGGATGCCTTTTGTATCCTTTTGTGACAGCTGTTCTTAATGCGAAACCTTTTCTTGTTTCAGATGATGCTTCCCACATGGTTGCCTTTTCTGTCAAAGATTTTGTCAACATTGAATCCTTTTTGTTTGACATATTGCCCCTGAAATAGATGATGGCAGATGTTCTCAATGTCAACCCCGTGTTTTGTTCGTCCAAGTTTTGGAAAAGACGCTCTGAACTTTGAAAACCCTTTTGACAGAGACATTCTGCATACAAAATGCTCGCCTGCCTTGTGAAACAAAGGCCCCCCCGAATGAGCTCGTGCCTTGTTTTCTGGGATGAAGAATAAACTGTCCGACACATATTCAAAATATTTCAAAATCATTTTCAGGGCTTCTGACTTTTTCACTTGGCTCTGGCTGTATATCCCGACCCTGCAAAATCATTCCAAAATGCAGCCTCAGCCTGGAGATATGGAACCTATTTTGGACCACCTTTTGGGACCCATAATCGATAGGTTCCCAAAACTTTTCTTTTGGGCAATTTATCAGGGCCAGTGACTAGAACAAATTAAACATATTTTGCTTAGGGCAGTTTGTACATGTTACCAGCGTACCGGATAGGACACACAGCTACTTTGATTTTGATATTTTCACGACAAGAAACGATCGCCTCCCACCGAACCAAGCGACCAAGTCTCTGCAGTTTCACTGCACCAGGAGGAAATTCAGATGCGTTCATGGAGGCGCCTGTGTAGAGGCCACAAAGATCGACTTGTTCGGCTGTTTGATCCAGTTTCAAACGTATGGGAACAGATCACTCGAGTCTTATAGTCTTATCTCGTTTTTTGAGGTGGCTAACCATCTTCCTGTCTATTCGAGTAGGGCGAAGAAATGCTGCAATTGTTAAGTGGTTAGTGGTTTGACTCATATTTTCCATCTTCCATCCATACTTGGGATGGTTGGCTCCATCGTTCAACATGCTTTGGGCATCTTTGGGCTGTGACTGTCCATGTTGGCCAAAGCCTGGGTGGTGCTCTGGGAGACGCCGACAACATGAGTCGCTGACAACTTGGAAAACATGGGAGTTTCCCACCAGCCATGGGGATTGAATCTGCCAAAATGGCAGACATTGAAATGGTGGATCCATTGGGATGCTATTTCAGCTTCATCCAAGCGCACTGTATAGTGCGGCATAGCGTAGCATGCGTAGCAAAGGTTAGCAAAGGGTAATGGGTTGACTATAGGGAAGAAGTTTTGGAAGGGTCACACCCAACTGTGCCAAATTCGGTTCATGACAATGACGGCGCCAGGCCCATGGGGAACTCGACGCGTTGATCTCCTCACCTTGAGTGCCAGAAAGCGGCGTTGCAGCATCTGAGGTCGTGAGCCCCGAGTCATCAAAAAGAGATGCCGACGGAAAAATCTTCGGAGTTGAATACTGGAAAAACTCAAAGAGCCAAGGAAGAGCATCACTTCAGGAGGAAGTTACCAACATTGCAATGGCCAGAAAAATCTTCACTTTGCAGACGATGCGCCGAAGCATTTTCAGCAGCCTGACAGAAACTTGCACCCTACAGTCGCATTGCAAATATCCGATTGGCAATGACGATCTACGCAATCTACTGACAAAGCTAGTTGGAATCACATTGATATAGACATTGACAGACGCATGCACTGAGGGAACCCAGTGGCAACCAAGCAGAAGCCAGAAGTCCAAATCACATGAATCTCTACAAGTTGTGTG